TTGAATTTTTAATTTTTAACATATCTCAACTTTATTTTAGATGCAACTTAAGTGACTGGTTAAGAAAAACTGCAGTATCACAGTATTTAGTCTTCACATGTACTGAAAGTAAGCTGATAAGCAGTTCAAATTATTTTACATGTGTTTGCATACACATCTAGAAAGTCAACATATATTTATTTTTAAAAAATAAGTTAAAATATCAACTTCGCTAAAAATAATGGGGAAAAAAAAAAGAGACCAGTTTGTTGCCAGTATCTCTTAACATCTGGGGACAGAGTCTAACACAGGCAAAGCACTGTATCAGCCAGTCTCTAGCTGCACTGAGAAAAATCAGACTTTGCAAGGAAGCGTTTTAAAACAATCCCAATGTCCTTATCGACCGTGGTGTGTCTTTTCATTCGTAAAATTAAAATCTTTATGTGCCTTCTTTCATGTAATCGCAGATGTTTTATGTACTACAGCATAGATACTATGTTTACATATAGTTTTGTAAAGCATATATACTATGGTCAGAAAATATGAAAAACATAGTGGATCAAATTTCAAGTATTGCTTTGTCAATAATTATGCATTCAGACTGCATTAAAATAAAGTTCATGATCTATTGTAATAAAGTAAAAATAATAAACCCAGAAAGAATCCCCCTCATGATTTGCCTTATGCATTGTGTTTTACTGTACACCGGGGGTGGAAAAAAGCGGGTCATGTGAAAGTACTCCTCAGTTCTAGTTTGTTTAACTCGGGACAAACGTTTTCACTCCAGGTCAGAAATACACGCAAACACCATAGCTTCCAAAATCTGTCTGTCATGTGGCTGCTGGTCTGAGATTTAACTTTTGGGAAACAGGTAAGGCCAAAACGTGCAGTACCAGGGGACCCCCCCGGATGATCTTTAAATAAGGGTGAAGATTCTCAGAAGTTACCGTTAAGAGGCTTAAACGGTGTGAAAGGCCAAGCAACGCATCCTGTGGTAGATCCAAAAAATCCACTTACAGATTTTTGCAGCGATGTATTTCCCACTGCATTCTTTTGACTATAAAACAGATGGAAATCCTTCCTTCAAAGTCGAGAGCTGTTTGGAGACAGACATCAGTACAGCATAAACCAAGATTCTATCATATGTTGAGTACTACACTGCCACTGAATAAGTAACAATAGTGCAGACCGATTATTATCTACACTGGGTTCAGGTTTTAATGCTGTAGATCATTTGGATACTTGAAACTTTGCCCCAAGAGAAGTTATTTTACTTAGTTTCACTGAAATCTCTTGTTCAACATCAAATTCTTAATCCAATGAAATCAAAACTAATATACCAATGTTAGAATTCTAAATTATCACAGGACATGTTCATTTATTTGTCAGCTGATGAACCAATGTATCACCTAAATTCACAGGTATAAAAGCAATGCAAACATAGCAACTTACTTTTTTTTTAAAAAAAAAAAAGAGCATAGAATGGTTTACTTCATGGTTTGGTTTTGTACTTTTGAGCACATCAGAATTAAGGAAGAGTTCACACTAATCTGCCACACAAAACGAGTATGAGAGGGAGGCCCAAGGATATCAACTGATCACATTCCTCTTCTGCAGACAGAGCCAGGTTTCTCCTGGGGCCTCACAGATCACCATCTCACCTTGGTTTGCTCAGCAGACCCTCAGCAGACTCACACAGCCAGTCTGGCTCCCTCGGGCTCTTGCTCTGCTCCTGGGCCACCAGAAGCTAGAGGAAGACAGAATTAAGAGTCAAACAGACACCCATGTTTGGGCTCTCTATGGCACCTTTTCCCCCAAAATCCAGATATTTAGCAGTTGTTCTACATCTTGGATTTTTGGAGGAATACGCAATCAAAGCCTTTTCGCTGACAGTCAGGAAGTAACTTTATTGACAGAAAATACACACCACCCCCCCCATTCTGCCCTGGCATCATTTGGGTTCTTTCGTATTTCGTAAGTTTTTAATCTGTGTCAATTCAAGTCACTTAGTTCATTTTTTTCCACTACTTAGTCCTCCCCTGTAGCTGTAAACTTCCACACGTTTTATTTCAAATTTGAGGGAAAAAACCCAAGGATAGGGAATGACAAGGAAAAACTGATTAGATAAAAATGAGCTAGCAAACAGTAAAGATTTGTTTAGTTATTATCCATTAACATTTTCTGAAGGCCAGGGCAAGTCAGAAGAAATTTTCTTGGACAACATTTTGCCCTAATGTAACTCTAGCAGTAGTCAGTCACCAATACTGCCATTCAGTAATTATCTGTGCAGTTCTTGGAGGTCTTAAAACCACCCCACCTATACTCTTAGCATTTTATAAGATTCTCTAGCTACACAAAGAATCAACTGGAATCACCATTTTGAAAGAAATCTAAGTCTACTATTGAACTGTGTAGAACAACAACAAATGCCTATGCAAACAGAAACAATGCATAAAAGCCCAGTTAATCCAGCAATCATTAGTTTTATCTAACGCAAAACGTGTGCTTTTCTCCCAAAGATCTTTCCTTTCAGTAGTGGCTTTAGATAAACCACTGCAACACAAATGTTTAAAAAAAAAATATTAACACAACGCAAAGAAGTTGATAATTTAGCAAAACTATTTTATTAAAGCTTATTCTCATGATAAAATAATAGCCAACAAAATCATACGAGGCAGGTCTTCCGCAAATGTGTGCAGCTGCCACCTATTTAGATATCATTAAGTCAAGATATTCTTGTGTTCTGTGGTATTCTTTATTTTCAGCTATTTACAGTCAAGCATGAAGCAGATACATCAGGAATGTAGTATTACAATTTTCCCCTCGAGAGTCACCATTTATTGTAATTAATGCCAGACAGGAATTTATGTTTTCCTTCTTATCACTAAAATACAACTATTTTGCCCTTTACCCATTCGGTATATTTAAAAATATTGCACTACGTTTAATTTATCTCTTACAATCATCATTAGCAATACTATGTGAGGAAAACTATATCCAGCTTTTCTTGCCCACTGTATTACACAAGTCAATTTAAAACCATGAATGTGTTCTTGAAATCAGTATTTGCATTGTTTTCACAGCTCCTTCATGTGTACCAGGGTTTAAATGAAGTACTTGGATATATTTGAAAACCTCTGTAGTACTCTATAGTAGTCCATAAGAGCAAACACTGATGGAGATTGAATGCAGATCACCACCAATGGTAAGCCACTGAGAAAATGGAGTGGGGAAGTCCTAATATGCATCTCAAGCAAGTATAGGTTAAATAACTTTTAGTCAATAAGGGAAGCTAATTTTGTGCGATTATTTGCTGAAGCTTCATTTCAGAAGTGTCACATGCCTATTTTAGCATGGATAGTGTTTTCCATACATCAACTAAGTAAGTATCAACTGCCCAGAACTCACAAAAAAGTGCAAGTAGTCGCATGAGTGGAAGTAACCGTTTTGTTTAGAAGCACAGGTATGCTTTTCCATCTGTGAAAACTACTGCTTCTTGATTTTGCCCATCACAGCATCAACTGAAAAGCAAATTTAATGGAGAGGTACGTTACAGACTGCCTGAAAACTTAAGCGAGTTATTTCACCATCTTAGATTCAACTCCATTTCCACAAAGGCATTGTGGGTTTTTTCCTACCCCCAGTGATAATGATACCAGTACCTAACACAGTACCTAAAATAAAGATGATATTTTATACGGCATTTCTACACAGAGGATGAAACAAAGACATGTTTACAGGAAATAAATAAGAACAACGGCCTTAGCTAGGTGATGCTAAGATCCACAGTTTACACATAGCACAAGACCATAGAGTTCTTTTCAAAAGCTGCTGGCTGAAATTCTTCCTCATCTCTACTGGACTCACTTATTTTGACTCAAATAAAACATGTTATATACAGTATAGGACATTCTTCTGACAAAGGTGATCCTTCTGCTCAGACTGTCCCTTCTGTCCGAGAAACTGAATGCAACTTACCACTATATGATTGCTCAAAAGTGTCGAGAGAACATGTTTAGCTATTTTGAAAAGTCTTTTGTACCTCGATAAAGTCTGCAGCAAAATATTAATTTTTTTTTTCAATTACTGAAACTGTCATTACATGCTTTTTCATAGAATGCAATGCAACCTCCAACTCTTGTGAAGATCAATTTTCCTTTATCGGGTTATCAGATAATACAACAACAATTAAACATACGATTTTGTTCTGGAAGGCAACCAGCCTTTCATCTCAAAAATATTCCCAATTACACTGTGAGATACTGGTATGTACTTTGATATCCAGTATTATTCAATCAGGATACAATAGCCCAAAGTTCTAAGGAGGATTTTTTTTTTTTGTAGCATAGCATTACTATATTTCATGTTAATTACAAACTATGAAAAGTTCTTGTATCTAACATAAAATATGGAAAACAAACGATATGCAATGTTAACTTCAGTAAGTACTAACAACAGACAAAATGAAAGACCTTCTGTTTGCTTTCAAGATATGTTTGGCAAAAAATGCACAACTACCTAGAAGACGTACAATAAAACTGTGATCAACGTTCTAAAGCCTGGTCCCTCAGTGATTTCTGTGTCAGTCATCAGGCATGCAACAAGCTTATTTTTTCATCATACAACGGAAACTAAATGTTTTGAAAATCCTGCCAGTCTCCTGTTGAAAACACCAGCTCAAAAAAAAAAAAGGGGGGGAGTGGGGGGAGGAACACATTAAGGACACCACACACATTAATGTGAAATGGTAAGGTTACATATAATTAGAAAAAATAAAAATAAGTTATTAAAAATAAATTTCCAATATAAACCTCAAAATGTAGTTTTAACCAGCCAGTTTAATAAAATGATGGTGCCGTAGCTGGAGAAGAACCATTATTAGCTGTACTCTTACACAGGCAAATAACTGGAGAAGCAGGACATGTACATTATACCAGTGTTTTAATTTAATTGGAGCGTGTTTGTAATCAAGTGCAAAGTATTCTTTTAGTCCATTCCTTCAAAGGCTAAATACGTAAATATCAGTCTACTGATTGAGGTGGATCAACTGGTTCTTCTGATATGATGTTGAATGTTGGAGCCTCCATCAGACTGACATCTTCGTTATCCATTTCTTCTGCTATATTGGGTTCCTCTGAATCTTTAGTCACTCGTTTGGACTGCCGCTCTAATGACATGTTCTCCAAAGACTCTATATCCTCAATGCCTGCTCTGTAGTGGATCATCAGCAGTGTGAGGGCCTGCAGTCTTTCACCTGACTTAGCCAGCGCAGCAGAAATCAAGGCTTTTTTCCTTGCATCAGTCGTCTCTTTTTCTTCTTTCACAAGTGAATTATTATTTTCCAGCTCCTGGTCTATTTCATTCTGCAGCTTATCCAACATAAATTCTAATTTCTGAAAGCGCTCCTCTGTGGGTAAACTTCTGTAGAGATCACGTCCAATTTCTTTAACAGCAATGAAGACACTGTCATCCAGACCACCCTCCTTTCGGACCAACTTTATCCCAGTACCTGCTGCACGTTTTGAAGGACTGCTCGGCCCACTGATTTCAGTGTCGCTGCTTTCATTATCAGAAGTGTTTGGTGTGTGCTTTGGCGAAGGTTCTACCACCTCTGTTCCTTGCTCAGAAAGGCGAGCTTTAGGGACTTGACGAAGGTTTAACAAACGGGTGCTTGTATTGATGATATGCCTGGTCAAACCTGTAGTTCTGTTAACAGATTTAGATTCTGAATCAACACGAGAGGATGCAGCCTGGGGAGCTTCCTGTCCTTCTGCTCTACAAGCACCCACAGTTCGATCAAGTCGCTTTTCGGCTCCTACACAAAAGGGCGTCTCAGTTAGACATTTTTCTTGACATTTTTTATGGCAAACATAAGCACAGAGCATGCACTGTGAAGCTGCTTTAGTCCATACTTTCTTTTTGCAGTAATCGCACCAAGTTGGATTCTGAAACTGAGTATCTTGAAAGTTATGCTTGTTCTCCGTAAGAACAATTTGTCCCAAGAAAGGATCCTCCTTCTGAAGTACACGAGCTTCTTCTTCCAAGTGGCATTCCTTTTCTTTCTCCAGGAGAAAGTTTGAATCGTCTATTTCACCTTCTTTTAAATATTTGAAGTGTAAAGTTACATCACCGTAACAAAATTTTTCATTGAACCCCTTATGGGTTGTCAAATTCCGCAATGCTGTTCTAGTGACTGCTGCTTTAGGTGTAGGGGCATCCAGTTTAAATGTTCTAATGTATTCCATTGAGGATGTAGCTATACAATCTAAAGCAATTTCTTCAAGTTTTATGCTTGCATATCCTAAGCAGATAAAACCACCTGCTTTGAAAGGGTCTCTGCACCACAGTGCAACATTAAGGTACTTATGGTATCCTTCTACTTCAAATAGACAGGAGGACGTTCTTGTCCTTGGCCATCGGCCTTGCCGGACTTTATAAGGAATTTCTGGTGATTCCCATGTTTGATGATCATCTCCACTATCTTTGTAACTACGTGCGTTTTCTGAAAGTCCATCTTTTAACGTATCTTGTTTTGCTGCTGCTGTTATTTTTGATACCGTTGGGTCTTCTATCTGATCATTGTTCTTTACTACCTTCTCTGCACACTTATCTCCATTATTTGCAGGTGGAGGTGGCCTCTCTGGTTTTTCAGAAGATACACCTCCAGTTTCAAACAGATTCTGAGTTTCACTAGTAGGCAAAATAGGCTTACTTTGTGGCCTAGGTGGTACAGGAGGCTTAGTACTGGATCCTTGTGATTGTTTACCCGATTGCTGTGATGCATCTGAACCCTCAGTAGTTTTGGGTGTTGCCACTTTAGCTCCATCTTTTTGTTGTGTTTTTGATGTCGTCTGATAGCTTCCTAAATGTAGTTTTCGATTCAGAATTGGAGATATAGTTCCAAGTGGTTTAGCAGCAAGTATTACTACCGAACGTTTGGGACTCGGAGTTGTTGGCAGATCTTCTTTTTGGTCAGGTGATTCACAAGCTAAGTCCTCAAATTCAGAATCAAAATCTCTGTTATCAACATCAGCTGATAAACTAGCCTGGTCATCTTCTGGCTGTGTCAAGAAAGCTGTGTCTTCCAGTTGTCCAAATCCATCCTGCAGTGCTGAACCATGCTGATTATACCCAACAGGCCTTTCATAAAAGACTAAAACTCTGTCCCCAGCCTGTCTAATAAGCTTCAGCACTTGGACAGTTGATGTGATTTTAACACCTATTAAAAAAAGACAAAAATAATTAAAATTTAATTCTGATGACTATTTTTGGTCATTTAGATTGTTAACAAATACGTTTAGATCTTTAATAGTAAATACTGTTGCTCACTAACAGAGGAAGTCAATTATGACAGAAGAGCTCAATTGAAATATAACAGATGGATTCTTTCAATTTTATTCATACAAATATACCACTTCAGAAGCCACAAAAGATATGAACATAAATACTCTAGCTTGCTGTTTGTTATTAATGCTGTAACATTGACTTTGTATGCTAACATTTTTAACCTTGGTCTTACTGTAAGTTTGGACTTTTCAGCAGCAAGCATTTAACAAAGGATTCAAAAGAGAGGGGCATCTTCAAATTCAGTTATAATTAAAACAGAAGCAGGCTAACAACGAAAATAGTTCCGATACGTTAACAAAATATAGGCATGATGTTACATTCTCAGTGCGGCTGAGCAGCAAATTGAATCACCTTCCTCATCAGAACTTTCAGAGCCATTTGACAATATCTCCAGCCTATGGTAAGATTCAACAAATTACAGGCATTAAAGAGCACACAGTCATGCAGGGGGTCATGTAAAAATAACTTTTCCCTTGTTCGAGAGCAATCATCAATTGCCTGCTCTAAGCAGCTCAAACCCCTTTTAAATCACTGGAGCAATGCAACAGGTATTCAGGCAGTACCTAATCACAACTCAGTGCAGTGGTTCAGCTCTAGTCTGTAAAACTGCTCAGGTAAAACCTTTAAAAAAAATTGAGACTGGGATAGCAGGGAATGTAAGTAGTTCAGATCATAAGTATATAGAGTTCTATCTTCACAGTATTTTACCACACTACCTCTTCTATAGTACCTTAATGACTTAGAATGAAATATAAAATTACTTTACCTCTTATTTACACGGTTAATATTTGGAGAAGAAATGTGGGATATCTGGGATACTACATGTAGTTCCTAATTACGCAGTTCTTTCTGCATTTCTTTCTCTACCAGTGACATGGAGATAATCTCCTAATTCATAATACAACTCTAACGGAATTTCTCTTACCATTTTTCCCCTTGAGGATTTCAATGTAACATTCCAGTTTATCAGTGGTACCTACACTTATTTCCAAAATATTACTAAAATACAGTGATACTCCCACTCCTTTTTCCTTTATAAATCCTTGGACAGTATACAAGCCTCAACAACTTCAAATCAAGCTACTTACTATTCCTACTCCATAATGTTTTACTTAGTCCCACGACATCCAGTAGAATGGAAAACATTACATTATTTCTTAATGACCATGAAGATGTTCCTATCTGTTCCTTCCACTCAGCTGATCAGCCACTGTTCTTGTTAACGGTTTATTTGTCCTTCTGTCCACCGTCATATTCTATAGGTCCCCTCCAATTCTCAAGTTTAAAGCAGTAAGATTTCCAGTATCAGTTTCTGATTAAAGTTTATGATCTAGTTCTCTGTTGGTGACAGGGTCCACACAAAACTGAAGTATTCAAGCTATATCTGGAGATGGTCTAATTTATAATTGTACAATATAAACTAGTATCAATCCACTTCATAATGCCCAGGGATTTCCACCGAATCTTTATTAAAAAGCCCTCAAAAGTCAAGGGTACTTTTTGCCTCAATGCAGCGCTACCTGCCAGTTACAATTTGGGTAAGGTCTTCAAATATGAGAACTTCAGAGTAGATTTCTAAATAATACTTTTGTCAGAGCTGACAAAAATTAACACTAAAAGTACAAAACTACTATCAAATGCTCAGCAGACGATCTTGGGTCATTTTCACACTTCAGACAACTACTCTGTTAGTCAAAAATATGTTTATACTACTTGTTCCATACTTGACTTAGTACCTTTACATTCAAAGCTGAGTAAGCAGGCCTAGAATGTAAAATGTTATGGTTTTCTTTGTAAAAAAAAGCACATTTTATAACATCGGTGGAAGAAGCTAAGTAGAGAACCTCACAGTATCACTATTAGAACAGTAAAAATATATTTACATTCAAATGTTTATTCAACTTTATTTTGGCTTCTACCTAGCAAAGAGTAAATAAATATGCGAGAAAACAAATCAAGTGAATGGTAACCTGAAGTGGCCATAAATACATAAGTGTTAGTTTCCATCATGCACGCCAGGCACAACTTTAATTGTTAGAAAGGCACTCCAGTTGAATTGTATGCAGACATGTCCTCCCAGTTTGCAACACAACACTTATTTTGAGGGCTGACATATTACTCACTGCCAATTGCTAGAAGTCTGTCTCCCCTCTGTAGATCAGCAGCTGCAGCAGGTGAGTTTGGAGTCACAGTTTCGATGACAACATGCCCCGCATCATCTTCCTTGGACTGCACAAGGCGGAGCGTCAGCCCAACACTTTGCAGATTCCCTTTCACTAGTTCTGCCTAGAGAGAAAGAAGTTGGAAGTTAAGAGTATGCCAATTAAGCTGACTGCAAGGCTTCGTGGTTACCAACGATCCTTTAAACAAGATTATACAACTGATATCAAAAAAAGTTACATTAGGACATGCATTGACTGCATTAAGAAGATTATCACATATAGATTAACTGTCTGTCAATCCAGTTTACACCTTTGGAGAAAGATGAAACCAAATGTCACCAGTTCTGAAGAGCCAAATACATCAAAACTAGAGAGCAGTGCAAGGAGTTGTCAGCAAAATAAATATGTATTTATGTGAGCACACATCTGTTCAATAGTTTAAACACAATTAATAACAATACTGAGCTAACCTATGCAAATACAAATCAGAAGGAAAGGGAATACATGACTCATCTTTGTGAACAGCCCCAGTCCTAACAAAGCTACAACTAAGCACAACTTCATCACTCA